GTTTACCTCTCCATCGCCAACCTCCCATACTCAATGCGTTGGCGCGAGTCGGGTAACGTGTTGCTGGCGTTGCTCTCTATGCCAGACAGCAAAATGAGTCCACTACAGAAGACGCAGCTGTTTCAGAAGGCGATGGCAACGGGGTTACACGACATCTTCCAAAAATCAAAATGGTAAGTGTTCGCCAAAATGAAGTGCAAACCTGGGCAGTCAGTCAGGAACGGTTGTATTTTTTTTTTTGTCAATGGTGTCTGAATTCGTGTTGTATGTGTTTTATGCAGGGGCATGACACTCACAGACCCGTTAGGGAATGTGCACACCGTGTATCCGATGCTGTACGCTTACGTAGGGGACTACCCTGAAATAAGCAAGGTCTCATGCACGCGGGAACTCGGATCCGACAAGCCCTGCTCGGTGTGTTATGTCGGGAAGGACTACTTGTGGGTCATTCGGGATGGTCTAAACGAGCGGCGCACAGTGAAGGCTCAACGAGGAATCCAAAACAACGCGGAGGAGTTGAAGAAGTACTCTACGCACCCTATTGACGTAAGTGCTTCCTGCAGCATGCACTCTGCCACACCACCGCTTGCACTGTCACCAGCAGCATCTCACACACAGAGCAAGACTTGCACTGTCACCAGCAGCATCTCACACACAGAGCAAGACTTGCACTGTCACCAGCAGCATCAAGACTTGCACTGTCACCAGCAGCATCTCACACATAGCACGACTTTCATCCGATCCCAACAGCATACACCACTCAGAGCACGACTTGCACTGATTTCAGCAGCATCCACTCACAGAGCACAACTTGCACCGATTCCAACAACATCCACTCACACAGAGCACGACTTGCTCTGATTCCAGCAGCATTCACCCACACCGGAGCACAACTTGCACTGATTCCAGCAGCATTTACCCACACAGAGCACAACTGCGACTGATTCCAGCAGCATCCACTCACACAGAGCACGACGTGCACTGATTCCAACAGCATTCATCCAGACAGGGCACAACTTGCACTGATTCCAGCAGCATTCACTCAGACAGAGAACGACTTGCACTGATTCCAGCAGCATACACTCGCATAGCTTGATTTTCTTCAAACTCACAATGGTCAGATGTCATAAACGATTGGATTCGCATAGTGTAACTGTACAACTGTATGCGTTGCAGACACTCCTACGGAGATTTCATCACGCGGCAACGGACTGGGGAAACACGTTTCAGGCCCAGATGCCTGACCTACTGCACGTGCTGTATGGAGGTGTTCTGGCCAGATTTTTCCAGGTGGCAAAGGGAAGCGACGCGAACGCCGAAGCGCTGGATGAGTGAGTCATTGTTTTTTGGGGTAGTCCTTGGGTTGGTGAATGACAAATGTATGGATGCAATCTGCATGATAGACACTCTTACCGACGATTGTGGTGGTCCTTTCATTGCAGCCGGCTTGGTGACATCCATGATGACACCACACTTGCTGGGGTGCCGCTTCCGACGGGGCTCTACTTCTCAAAGAGTTCTTACTACTCAGCAGCCGAGCATGCTGCTATGCTAACAGAGAGTACCCCACTTGCAGTGCCAACAGCATCATACACACAGTTAGAGCATCGCTGGCAGGGCCACCAGCGGCATGCACTGACATGAGCACCGCATGCACTGCCACCAAGTGCATGCAATCTCACCACCAGCCCCGCTTGCGGTGCAACCAGCGGCGTGCCCTCACACAGAGCACCGCATGCACTACCGCCAGAGGCATACAATCTCACCCCCAGCCCTGCTTGCAGTGCGACCAGCGGCATTAACTCACAAAGAGCACTGCTTGTAAGGCCTCCAGCTGCATTTACTCACACAAAGCACCGCCTGCTCTGCCACCAGCAGAATACACTCCCACAGAGCACCGCTTGTTCTGCCACCAGCAGAATACACTCCCACAGAGCACCGCTTGTTCTGCCACCAGCAGAATACACTCCCACAGAGCACCAAATGTTCTGCCACCAGCAGAATACACTCCCACAGATCATCGCTTGCACGGCCGCCAGCAGATTACACTCCCAACCCACGCCGTTTGCACTGCCGCCAGCGGCGTGCACTCACCCACACCACCGCTTGCAGTGCCACAAGCGGCATTCGCACATCCGCACCAATGCTTGCACAGCCACCAGCGGCATACACTCACACAGAACACCGCCTGATATGCCGCCGGCAGCACACACTGACCTACCACCACCGCTTGCATTGCCAGTGGTCCACTACAGTGCCTTCCCTGTTCAGTCTTTGTGGTTGGTTTTGTGGCAATGCCTCTCCCACGTCAGGTTCTCCCCTTTCTATTTGAGGGTAGGATTGCGCCATCTCGTCTCAAGGCAGTGATTTTCTTCGCCGAATGGCACAAGAACCACATCCGAGCAGAGTCCTACACCGAGGCTTCACTCAAGCAGATGGAGACGGATACAATAGAGTAAGTGGCCTTTAAACTTCTGAAACCCGCTCATTGCATACCGCGTGTCATGTTCATTGATGTGTATCGCAACCCACACCCCTGCCTGCCGGTCCTGTTGCATGTGCAGACTGGTGCGGCTGCTGATGACTCATTTCCCCAGGGATGGTGATGGCTGGAATCTGATAAAGATTCATGGCCTGAGCCATCTCCCAGAGGCTATTCGACGGGGGGGCCACCCGCGTGAAGGACAGAGGTGGAAGGGTGAGTGTGGTGGGGTGGGGGACAGAGGTGGAAGGGTGATTGTGGTGGGGTGGGGGACAGAGGTGGAAGGGTGAGTGTGGTGGAGTCTGACAGAGGCTGAAGGGTGAGTGTCACGGTGTGGGGAACAGAGGTGGAAGAGTGAGTGTGATGGGCTGGGGGACTGAGGTGGAAGGGTGAGTGTGGTAGAGTGGGGGGAAGCAGTGGGAGAAGGGTGAGTGGGATGGTTTGAAAAACTGAGGTGGAAGGGTGAGTGTCCCGGGATGGGGGACAGAGTTGGAAGGGTGGGTGTATGAGGTGGGGGACAGAGGTTGATGGGTGAAGGTGGTCCCGGGTATGGCAAGAGGTGAGCGCAAGGTTCTTCCCCCTGGAAAAAGTTTGCTCTCTGGTCGAGCAAGAGGTGAGCGCGAACTGCAAGTTTGGCGGCGGCGTCGGGCGCCATCCACCGTTTGTAGGCAACACGGTCAGCGCGGTGTTGCGTCTGCACCTCCTCCCCAGAAGAAGCAATAGGCTCAGCAGGAGCCTTAGGGGCCGGAAGAGACCCCGACGTATGCGCGAACACGGAGGCGTTGTCCAAAGTGAGACTCTGGAGGTACAGGTGTAGATCCTCTAGCAAGAATTCGAGCTATAGAGGGTGCCCCTCTGCATCAAAGGTGAGCACAGTGGGAGTCGCCATAGCAGCAGTAACTGCAGCAGTAGTGGCAGTGATAGCAGCAGCAAGAGTGGCACGAGCGTGGGGCGTAGGTCAGCACTAGTGCACGGGGCAGCTCGGCTCAGCAGGTCGGCTCGGGCGGCAGCAGCAGCGCAGGCGACAGCAGCAGCTGAACAGCAGCAACCGCAACTTAGCAGCAGCAACTGCAGTAGCTTAGCAGCAGCAGCAGCAACAGCAACAGCTTAGCAGCTTAGCAGCACGCACGGCAGGGCAGGGTAGTGGGCCCAGTGCAGCGTGCAGATCAGCTCGCTAGGCAGCAGGCAGCGCACAGCAGCGGCAGCACGGCACAGTGCAACGCGCAGGCAATGCGGGCTGCGCGGGCAGGGTACGGGCAGCGCAGGGCGCAGCAGCAGGCAGCTCGCAGCAGCGCGGGTAGCAGGCAGCGCAAGCAGTGCTGGCAGTGGGCGGTGCATGGCAGCAGGGGTAGTGCGTGGGCAGCTCCCGTGCAGGCGACGCAGGCATCGCACGGGGCAGCGCGCGGGTCGCCGGCGGAGCGCAGGGCAAGCGCTCGCAGGAGGCGCAGGGCTAACGTGTGGGGTAGGGTATGGGGAGCCCAGGTCACAGCAGCGAGCAGCTCGCAGCAGCGCGGGCAGCAGGCAACGCAAGCAGCGTTGGGACCGGGCCGCGCAGGGCAGGAGGGGCAGTGAGGGCACGTGCAGGCGCCGGGAAGCGGGGCACGCGCAGGCTCTGAGCCGCGGGGCGTGCACGTGCGCTGGGCAGCGGGGTAGGGCAGTGCGCGTCGTCCTAGAATGGGACCTGCTCTGATACCATGTTAAAATAGGAAAGCAAGAGTGATTGAACTAGGAAACATTGAGATGCAAATGCTAACCCTAACAAGGGTTGTGCCCTATAAGGGCTACCCCACTACAACCTACAACAAGATATGCAATATAATTTGACAACACCGCCTTCTAGCTTGTTGACTTCGAAATTGAATTCAGAGGCTAGAATTGAATTTGCCTTCCACCAACCACCGCAACGTCCCAAGCTAGTCAGCTCTAAAACTTCAGGCGGGACAGTAGATTCCAAGAACACAAAAAGAAAGCAAAGTACATTAGCAAGTGTTAATAGCGCGACGTTGTGGTAGCGAGGAGAAGCCTGAGGACAGAGAGGAGGATGAGGGGAAGGGGAGCACGGATGACAATGAGACAGAGTGGCGACTGGACATTCATGGCCATCGAGGTGGTGGGGTGGGGGGGAAGGATGAGGACAGGTAGGGGGCGGAATGCCCTCCGCGACTCCAAGGACAATTGAGCTCAATAATGAGCTTAATTGAATAGATTCAAGTCGAGTTGATTTTTTTTTTCTTTCTTTCGCTCATATCTATCTTGACTATGCCTGGTGTTACAGTGAGGATCTTGGTTAGGGTAGGCCTGCCTTAGAGAAACTTGGTAGCGGAATTCCTCGTGGTAGGAATCTTGTGCAAAGTGAAAATAAATGACAAGATCGATTAACAGTGAAAAATACACACAAAAAATATATATAACTAGCGATGTACACCCGTCTGCACAATAGGCGCGGACGTTTGGGGCTAATAAGGCGAAAGCGCCACTGGCGCGCGTGGTGACGAAATCGTCACAAGCGCGCGTGACGATGAAATCATCACAGGCGCACGTGGCGACGAATTTGCCACAGGCGCAAGTGGCGACGACATCGCCACAGGCGCGCGTGGCTACAACATCGCCACAGGCGCGCGTGGCGACGGCGCTCGTGGCGACGAAATCACCACAGGCGCGCGTGGTGACATCGCAAGTGGCGGACGTGGCGTCAAAATCGCATGTAGCGCAGGTGGCGCTAGTGGCGCTCATGGCGCCGAAAGGGTCAATATCGCCACTGGTGCATGTGGCTACGAAATTGCCAGTGGCGCGCAATAACCCAGGGGCGTGTCTAGCGGAACTCCTCCAGCGAGCATGACGGCAAAATCCCCCGAAGGCGAGATTCCAGTGGCGCGCCAGAAACAAACTGGTATGGCAGATACGCTTCTATTGCTGAAATTTGTCAACGAATAACTTCTTATTTTGCGTACGTTTCCACCTTGTCTTCGTACGTATGTCCGGTTTTTGTTGGTCTTCGTTTATCTCTTGTGTTATTTCCTAATCTTGGTCGCAGTAAATCGGTCCGAGGCAACTACCATAGCTTTGGGTCGCCATGATAGACCACCGGCCAAGAAAGACTGCGGCAAACATTTGGCCCAACCCCAGGGGCTCCAGTGGGAAATCGGGACCGGGGGCCCCGCGCCAGCCGGAAAAGGACCCGTGGGTCCTGTGCTGGCCAGCGAGCTCCCCAGGGGGGAGGAGGACCGGTGGGTCCTGTGCTGGCCAGCGAGCTCCCCAGGGGGGAGGAGGACCGGTGGGTCCTGTGCTGGCCAGCGAGCTCCCCAGGGGGGAGGAGGACCGGTGGGTCCTGTGCTGGCCAGCGAGCTCCCCAGGGGGGAGGAGGACCGGTGGGTCCTGTGCTGGCCAGCGAGCTCCCCAGGGGGGAGGAGGACCGGTGGGTCCTGTGCTGGCCAGCGAGCTCCCCAGGGGGGAGGAGGACCGGTGGGTCCTGTGCTGGCCAGCGAGCTCCCCAGGGGGGAGGAGGACCGGTGGGTCCTGTGCTGGCCAGCGAGCTCCCCAGGGGGGAGGATGGCTGGTGGGTCCCTTTCTGGCCTGTGGCCCATTCGTAGGGTCGATCAACGGTTGTGTAGTCTTTGTCATGCTTCGCAATTACCTGTCAGAGTAACATATAATTTTATATATTGTTCTATAACTGCCTGTAGTGTAGAATACTGTAGTCATATAACTTTCTGTTTGGTGGTGCACCTTTCTTGATTCCTGCCTATTTGTACCGCTCGCTCTATAGTGAACAACCTCTTTTGGCTTGCACTTTTCTTCTCGTCACTCTCGCCTAGGTCAAACCCTAGGCCCCTAAACTATTATGTTTGACATGGTACAGAGCACGTAACATCCTGGCCTGTTGTTTTTAACTACCCCATGGGCCCACTGCGTAGTTCTCGTTTCGTGGCGCCCGTCGCGCCCTTAGTTGCAACTGACGTGACGGGCGCGACGGCGAGCTGTCTGCTGCTGCCCATTGTCAGACATGGCGACCCGCGATCCGCCCCCTAGTGACCCGCACGCCCCCCCTTACGGCCCCGAACGGCCCCGCGCTCGCTCCTAGCGGCCCCGCGCTCGCCCCTTACGGCCCCGAACGGCCCCGCGCCCGCCCCTTACGGCCCGGAACGGCCCCGCGCCCGCCCCTTACGGCCCCGAACGGCCCTGTGCCCGCCCCTTACGGCCCCGTACGGCCCCGCGCTCGCCCCTAGAGGCCCCGGACGGCCCCGCGCTAGCCCCTTACAGCCCCGAACGGCCCCGCGCCCGCCCCTTACGGCCCCGAACGGCCCCGCGCCCGCCCCTTACGGCCCCGTACGGCCCCGCGCTCGCCCCTAGAGGCCCCGAACGGCCCCGCGCTAGCCCCTAGCGGCCCCGGTCGGCCCCGCGCTCGCCCCTTACGGCCCCGCACGGCCCCGCGCTAGCCACTAGAGGCCCCGTACGGCCCCGCGCTCGCCCCTAAAGGCCCCAACGGCCCGCGACCGCTACAGCCGCCCGATCTAAGCCGAGCCGCGTGACCCGAACCGAGCCGAGCCGCGCACCCCGAACCGAGCCGCGCCGCCCTAGCCGAGCCGCGCTGTCCTACCTGCACTACACTACTGCTACTGCTACTCCTACTGCTGCTACTGCCACTGCTACTGCTGCTATGGCTACTCCTCCTGTACTCGCTTTTGATGCTGAGGGCCGCCCAGTGAAGTTTGACACCTGGCTTGATGACCTGCACCTCTACCTACAGCTCACTGCCAAGGAAGATATTTCACTGTACGATCACGCCCTAGGCCACGCTACTGCACCTCCTACTACTGCTGACAGCACTCAGCGCTCACAGTGGCAGACTCGTGACGCTCACGCTCGCTTTGCCATTCGCAACTCCCTGCCACTAGATGAGCGCGAGCACTTTGGCCAGCACAAGACTGCTAAGGACCTGTACACTGCTGTAGTTGCTCGTTACTCCTCGCCTGCTTCTGCCGCACTAGGCCGCCTCTCCCTCCCCTACCTGTTCCCCGACCTGGCCTCCTTCCACACCGTTGCTGACCTCATCACCCACCTCAAGACTAGTGAGGCCCGCTTCCGCGCTGCTATGCCTGCCGAGTTCCTAGCTAACAACCCCCCCCCGCTCTGGCTCGTTCTCTACCACCTAGTCACCCGCCTCCCTGACTCTCTGCGCGCAGTCAGGGACCAGTGCCCCACTGAGCTCACCATTGCCCTCCTCGAGAAGGAGCTACTTGCAGCCGAGGCGAGTGTCGTCGCTGTAGGTGCCTCTCGTGGTGACCCCCGCACTCCTTTCTTTGAGGGGTGTTCCCCTTCCCCCCTCCTTCCCTCTGTCGCCTCTGCTTCTGCTGTCGACCTTCTTGGTGCTGAGAAGGTCGGGACCGCGTCTGCTTCGAGCGGGCGCCGCAGGACGAAAGGAGGCAAGGGTGGAGGTGGTGGCGGGGGCGGTGGGGGTGGAGGCGGTGGGGGTGGAGGAGGGGCTGGAGAGGCTAGTGGCGGCAGTGGGGGTGGTGACGGCAGCGGCGGGGGCGGTGGCAGGGGCGGGGGCGGCGGTGGGGGCGGAGGTGGTCGTGGCAGCGGCAGGGGAGGCGGTGGTCGCGGAGGTGGCGGCAGTGGTGGTGGCCGTGGAGGCGCTGGCGGTGGTCTGAGCCAGCAGCACACTCCGTCGCTCCAGGAGGCCCGTGAGTGGTATGCCCAGCGTCTTAGCTGCACGTATGTCATCCGCACTGGTGACCGCACTGGTCAGCAGTGTGGGAGGCCGCACCCCACGCAGCGCTGTTTCGCGCGCCTTACCGACGCTTGGCGCACCCAGTTCCCTGATGGCGCTGAGCTGCCCCGCTGGGCTGATCTGGAGAGGAAGGGGGTTGATATCTGGGCTTTAGACTTTGATGCTATTCTCACTGCCATGTATGCCATGTTTACTAGTGGAGAGGGTGCTCAGTACTTGTGTGTTCCGCCCGACCCGGGCATTCTGACCAGTGAGACTGCCGCTCCAGGTGCTAGTGAGACTGCCGCTGCAGGTACTTGCGTGTCTGCTCCCTCAGGTGATGGTGAGGCTGTCGCTCTAGGTGCTCGTGCGTCTGTCCCCCCTGGTACTGAGTCGACTGAGGCACTGCACACCTTCACCCTGGACTCAGGTGCTTCACGCTGTTTCTTTCGTGACCGCACTGTCCTTGAGCCACTTGCTCGGCCAGTTGCTGTCTCCCTCGCTGACCCCTCTGGGGGTCCGGTCGTTGCGACCTCCTCCACTGTCCTTCCCTGTCCGGCGGTCCCGTCCGGCACACTGTCAGGGCTCTACCTCCCCTCGTTCTCTACGAACTTGGTGGCAGGTAGCGCGCTCCAGGACGGGGGTGTTCACCAGTTCACCCCTGCCTACGAGCGTGTGACACACTGCACGTGTGCTCGGACGGGTCGTCACCTGGCTACCTTCACTCGGGAGCCAGGGTCGGACCTGTACACACTGACCACTGGGTCCCCACAGGTGGCTGCGTCTGCGTCTGCGTCAGGTCAGCTGTCCGCCCCCTGCTCGTGTCGGTCTCTCGCGCACGACACCGTCCTCTGGCACCACCGACTTGGCCACCCGTCTGTGCAGCGCCTTCGGACCATGCACCAGCGGTACCTTGTCTCTGGTCTTCCCAGAGTTCTCCCTCCCCTCCCACCCTCGCCGGCTCCTCCCTGTATTCCCTGTGTCGAGGGGCGGCAGCGCGCTGCTCCTCACTCTTCTGCGTTTCCCCCGACGGAGGCTCCTCTGCAGACACTCCACCTGGACGTGTGGGGCCCAGCCCGCGTTCGTGGACAGGGCGGGGAGCGCTACTTTCTGCTGGTAGTTGACGACTACACGCGCTACACCACGGTCTTCCCCTTGCGCACCAAGGGTGAGGTCCCTGATGTCTTGATCCCCTGGATCCGCGCTGCTCGTCTCCAGCTCCGCGAGCGGTTTCGCTCGGACCTTCCGGTCCTGCGACTGCACTCTGATAGGGGCGGTGAGTTTTCCTCCGACCTCTTGAGCGCCTTCTGTCAGGAGGAGGGCATTGAGCAGACGTTCACGCTTCCGGCCTCTCCGCAGCAGAATGGGGTTGCTGAGCGCCGCATTGGCCTGGTCATGGAGGTCGCTCGTACCTCCTTGGTCCATGCGGCTGCCCCCCATTTTCTGTGGCCGTTTGCTGTCCGGTACGCCGCGCATCAGCTCAACCTCTGGCCCCGTGTCTCCGCTCCGGAGACCTCGCCGACACTGCGTTGGACGGGAGAGGTTGGCGATGCGTCGGTGTTCCGCGTCTGGGGATCTCGTGCCTTTGTCCGCGACACGTCCGCGGACAAGCTCTCTCGTCGCGCTGTCCCCTGTGTCTTTCTTGGCTTTGTCCCTGACGCGTCTGGCTGGCAGTTTTACCACCCCACCTCGCGCCGGGTCTTTGCCTCTCAGGATGTCACCTTTGACGAGTCGGTCCCTTTTTACCGTCTCTTCCCCTACCGCACTGCCCCGCTCCCCCCTCCGCCTCTCTTCCTCGCGCCAGGTGCTGCTGTTGTAGAGCCCCTCCCCCCTCAGGGTGCCGCTCCCTCAGGTGTGTCTCAGGTAGACCCAGTTGAGCCTGTCGAGGTAGCTGTTGAGTCGCGTCCTCCTCGGGGTACTGAGCCTGGGGGTGCTGAGACTGGGGGTGCTGAGCCTGGGGGTGCTGAGCCTGGGGGTGCTGAGACTGGGGGTGCTGAGCCTGGGGGTGCTGAGCCTGGGGGTGCTGAGACTGGGGGTGCTGAGCCTGGAGGTGCTGAGACTGGGGGTGCTGAGCCTGGAGGTGCGGAGCCTGGAGGTGCTGAGCCTGGGGGTGCGGAGCCTGGGAGTGC